ACCAGCATGACTCATGACCCAATCAGGATTCCAGAAGATGTCCAGAAACTGGAATGCTGAGTCCGAACCCCAAGGGTGACAGGAAATCCTGCCATGATATTAATGATGAGGCCGACGTTGGAGGGCAGGGCCATGAGGGGCCTGGAAACTGTCACAGACATTTGAAGAAACCAGAGGGAGTTATTGCATCCTCAGACATCTGTCATGTGGTGAGGAACTGGCTTTCTGTCTCTCTCCAGAGGGTTTAAGCTGGAATAGAGGGAGCAGGGTCCAGGACGGCAGATCTAGCCCCAGGAATGAGCGCTGCCTAACAGCCCGAGCTGCCCAGCGGCCAAAGGAAGCTCCGCAGGCCAGTGCTGGGTCTCTGGGGGCCTCATCCGGAACTGACTAAGAAGAGATTATTTTTCGAGTTAGCGGTTGGACTCGTGTCCCTTCCAAATAAGCATCTGTGACTGAGGCCCCCTCTTCCTGTGATAAGTTCCTGGAAGAGGGCTTCCTGAGTGGGTGTGAATCACAGGAAGTGAGGAGGCGCCAGGTAAGTTGACGATGGGGTGGGGATGGGGTGGGGATGGGGTGTCAGTTCTCCAGGCGTCTGCCAGGGTTGTCTCATGTTCCTGACACATAGGCACTAAGGGGTGGCTGGTATAAGGTGAGAGAACCAAGGGCTACAGTTGACTCATTTAGGACAATTTGCCAAAGTTCACACCTCAGAATACTAGTTCCAAGGGATATTAAACTTAGGAAAAAGAGCTCAATGATCAAATAAATTTGGGAAATGCTGGATTAAATACAGATTCCATATTTACTATAATACCATTCAGGGGGCTTTCATATTCCTAATAGGATATTCTCCAAGAAGGGATATACACTTACCTCCAGTTATTGCCTTTAATTGTTTTTAAAGGAAGGAAAGCAGGATGTTTGGAGTGGCAGAGGTAATGCTATCTTTTCATCAAATCTTATTTTCCTCTTTCCAGATATCCAAGAAGATAACATTCCCAGCCTCCCTTGAAGTGAGCTTGGGGCGTGTGACTAATAGAAGTAACATGTCACTTCTGAGCCAAAGCGCAGCTTCTAGCTTTCCCTTCCTCTGACACGGTGATGGGCCTTGACGGAGGCCACATATTGAGAAGGCACAAAAAAGAAGTGACCTGAATCACGGAGTCGCTGCATGGAAGGCAGCCACCCTGAAAAATCACCTGTCTCAGAACAGCCTTCTCCTCAGTAAAAATAAATAAATAAATAAACCTGTGTGTTAGGCCACTGAAATGTCTGGGTTAATGACCGCCACCTGGTTGAGCCCATTCTGACTAACGCATTAGGTAAAAAGTGTCAAGGGAAAGGGCTGTCACACTGCCTCTGAAAGGTG